TTGGACGACCGGATACGGCCCAGTTCAAGCCTATCTTGCCAGACGGCGGCACACACTCTCCGGACAAGGATCAGGCTGCTGTGTGAGTTCGGACTGTACAGTAGGAGCAACTTCTTTTTCCGAAAAAATGGTCCGATCAGGACACATCCGCATCTAAATGCGGGCACCTAAACGTTGTAGCATGTACATCGGTGCCCGTTTCGGCACCGTCGAGCTCAACGACCATGTTCTACCGTAGTCGGCCTACAAACTATTATTCTCGCAGGATTGAGTGAAGTTGGCACACTAAAGAGCCCCTCCCCGCAACCTCCACTCCTCCTAAGTGCGACGACGCGCTACCCCGTTGATTGAAGAGTGTTCGCGTTCTCTCAGGACCAGTTCGTTCTGCGCCGGGTGATGTTGAGAGAGGAGGGCAGCGGTAACGAAGAAGGGCGCCTCTGAAGAGGCTCGTGGCGACCTTCGCATGCGCCGGGGGGGAAACCATCAAGATTCGCTCGGATCCCGTGTGTGTCTCTCGATACAGCAGTTTAGTTCCGGTGATGTGCGCGTCACCCGTTTAGATGAGCTTGTTCGGGTGTTGGAGGATGTTCAGCATGTACGGCTACAGAATCCTCCCCCCCCGTGTGTTTCCAAATCGCACCCTTTTCTAGACGCTAGATATTTTGCCCCCTTCCGTACGTTCCATTATACAACCTTTCTAGGCCCCGTTATTGGGTGAAGGTCGCATTTTTTTTGTTGTGCATAGTTCCTGCGCTCCTCTTCTCGCAGGGACAGATTTTCTCTTTCTCTCTCTCTCGCAGATGCCTGCGGCGTCTCTGTCTTGATGATATCTGTCGATAGTCCAACCCCGGAAACCCGACCGGGGCGAACCATATCCATTCACAAAGTTCTCGTCCCTGTGTGTGCCTTTGGGGGCAAGCGGTTATGTTTGACAACAGAACAAAACCGATCAGAGCAAGAACCGATACAGCACACGTTCCACCCGCAAGCAAGTGCGTTGGCAGGGAGTGTGATGAGCCAAACTCCGCTATTTCATCCAGTCCGCGTGGGGAACATTAAGCGAGAAGCCCACGTTGTTTTTCACAGCAAAACACCGACAGCCTTGCCTCCAGGAACGGAACGACCAATACGCCCTCTTTCCCGAAACGCCCACGCGCTTGTAATATTGTCACCACCCTTTTTTCCTACTCCTTACGATTATCGGTCCGCTGTGGATGGCGATACCGCCGCCACCGCCACCGCCACCGCCGGTAGCGAGGACCCCTGCTTTCAGGTCGATTACTGCTGGGACCACCGCCCCGAGGAGGGCGCGCAGCCCGGTCTTTGGTTCCTGCTCTTCGCGTCCCTGGTGCTCACGGCCATGCTCGCCGTGGACGTGTGCAACAGCACCGCCGAGGATTGGGATCGGGTTGGCATGTCGGGCTCGCGGGGAGGGGACGGGAGAACGGTGGCGGCGGGCCCCCGAGTAGGGAGTGGGGCAGGCGTTTGCGACCTGCGCGGGGAGGACACGAGCTACGAAGACGAAAATAGATTCAAGTTTGTCTGGGTCAGGGTGTATGTGCTACCTGGACGCTTCAAGTAAGTGATTTAAGTCATTAGTATGACGGGAATCTATAGGAAAGTCATGTCCGGAAGTACGCTGTGGTTAGCTCTGCCCGCTGCCTCGAGTGTACAGTATTTTGCACTCTGATGCCTTTCCGTGTCTTGTTGCACTCAGGTATTTCGCATGAAACACAAAACGTTTTCTGGGAGAATTGCGACTTATGAGATTTTCTTCGAAGGAGCTGCGATTGTTTACGACCGGAAGAATCAAGAGCCGTCACGCTACAATATTGTAGCAAGGTTTTTCTCGCTTTTCTTGCAGCGCTGCGAGAGTCTGGAAGCATCGCCGAACGTACAAGAATGAATCACGACTGATTGATACGATGCGCTCATTCGTGTCGTCGATGAGTGGGGTCTATTCGTCAACCCTAAGTGGTATGCCCTTGTTGTCTTTGTAGAGACTGTAGTGCTTGATGTTTAGATGCTTGTTATCTTTCACACCCGGTTGGGGGAAAGAGCAGGGAGTGACACGCTTAACAACAGTTGACGTGGGGGCTCCGCAGAATCATTCTCTGGTCGTACTACCCAACGCACACCTATGTGCAGGGCACCTGAAACAGACATCTCGTCTACAGATCCGACCACATACGCACTCACACGAACAGGGTCCTCCCACGGCTTCCGTGCGCTTGCCTTTGTTTGCCTACCATGTTATTCTGCGCCGTGTCACCCGCCGCCATTTCCTGCGGGGATGGCAGGGATGATGCAGGGCGCCCTCCGCTCGTCCCGTCCCTTCGAACTTTTTGTTTCCGCTTTATCCTTGCTGTTGAGCCCGCTGAGGTGTCCGCGCATTTCGTCAGGTTCTTAAGGCCCAGAACACGTAAACCTACCCTCCCTCCCTCTTCGGCTTTGAGGAGCTCTTGCGTGCATACTCAATTTTCTTCAAGCAGTGAATCTCAAAATCGCATGCAGAATGAAGAGGTACGCGCCAACACACGCTAATGGAGAAGGTGAGGTGGAGAACAGACCCACAGAAGACGCGTCAAGAAGTGAACCGATTCGCAGAAAACCGATCGGGCACCCTTAGTGGGTGGCTAATGAACGGTGGGGTATCGAGGAGGAGACAAAGCCCCGTTAATTACCTCCAATTTACACCTTGAGGGGTTCGAACTTTCGCGAAGTACAGGTAGGGTAGGTTACCCTGTGACCACGGAAATCGCGCGCGTGTCAAGAGTCATATCGGTACGGACAGATGAACGTACGGGGCAGAGAAATCAGCACGGCTTGAAGACGACGACGACGATAACAACAGCAGCAAATTGGCAATACCCACGCTGAAACCTATCGCGTCCTGTTGCTTTGCCCGTTTATCAAATACGGAACGAAGGTTACGCAAGAAGTGTGGCGTGTTCAGCCTGGAGGATGTCAAAAGTCATGCATTGCTTGCAATGCCGCGAGAAGAACAAACGTTTCCATCAGAATAACGACAGCAGGTAATGGTTTTGGCTACGCTCTGACGTTCACAGCTTGCACACCCGCCGGAGAAAGAACGGTCGTGAGTTAGGGCTGGCGGTGCGCATGGCGGAGGCGTGGAGGCAGGCACAACATGCAAGAAACGCCACAACCTCTGTGGCGGTGATCTGATTGGCTGCTTTGACTTTGGCCGAATCAGTTGCGCCGCATCTCCGGAGAATGCGGCATTAAGTGGTTCTCCCTCTGATAAGGCCTTTGCTCTTTGCTCCATCGGCCGTTATACTTTATTTCCATAATAATTTCAAGTAATGTCACCTTCTTATTCTCCGTCATACAAACAAAACGGCCGATGGAGCAAAGGCCTACCTGAGGGCCTGGTCGGAAATATAACATCGGTTGGGACAAAATGCGGGCTATCTCGATCCCATGACAATATTTTTGCGAACCGTTTTGTTCCTTGGTTTTGCCGCCTACGCGGGATCTTTTTGACAAGTCCCGCTAAAAGGTTGGTCCTACCCCAGCAGAAGCCACTCGAAATCAACACCCCAATTTCGAACCTCCGGTCAAGAGCCTTCCCATCTGTTGGCGAGGCATCTCCGCTGCTGGGGGTGCCTCCCAGGTGTCAAAACGCAAGAATCTCAACAGAGTTTGGAAAGAGAGGAGGCAGCAGATGGGAAGGCTCTTGACCGGAGGTGCAAAGTTGGGGTGTTGATTTCGAGTGGCTCGCTGAGGGAGGTAGACGTGTAGTGTGTGGATTGTAAACGTACGGCAGTGGTGGTGCCGAGGAAGGTCTAAGAAGGAGCAAATCAATTTGGAAATGCTGTGAACAATGCAATGCATGGTGAAGGACGATGTTCAGNGAGGGCCTGGTCGGAAATATAACATCGGTTGGGACAAAATGCGGGCTATCTCGATCCCATGACAATATTTTTGCGAACCGTTTTGTTCCTTGGTTTTGCCGCCTACGCGGGATCTTTTTGACAAGTCCCGCTAAAAGGTTGGTCCTACCCCAGCAGAAGCCACTCGAAATCAACACCCCAATTTCGAACCTCCGGTCAAGAGCCTTCCCATCTGTTGGCGAGGCATCTCCGCTGCTGGGGGTGCCTCCCAGGTGTCAAAACGCAAGAATCTCAACAGAGTTTGGAAAGAGAGGAGGCAGCAGATGGGAAGGCTCTTGACCGGAGGTGCAAAGTTGGGGTGTTGATTTCGAGTGGCTCGCTGAGGGAGGTAGACGTGTAGTGTGTGGATTGTAAACGTACGGCAGTGGTGGTGCCGAGGAAGGTCTAAGAAGGAGCAAATCAATTTGGAAATGCTGTGAACAATGCAATGCATGGTGAAGGACGATGTTCAGAGTGTCGACTTTGTGCAATCACTGCTGCTGTAAAGAGCGACATTTCAACACCGCTTTGGCGGCGACACGGCGCTATCCACACGGCACCCCCCCCCCCCCCCCCCCCCCCC